TGGACACTAAGAGGCTTGTATGGTAATGAAAATGCATACAATAGTTGAGGAGAATGTTGACATGGTGAGTGTGGCTGGGTGTGGGTAGGTAATGTGGTTGGATGTGGGAAGGGTGACTCTGTCTCTCTCAGCAAAATGACGGATACAGAAAGGAAGATCAAAACCTTAGTGGAAGGAAAATAAGAGGATGCGGCTGAGGAGTTAGTATGGAGGATGTCTAGCAGTGTAAGATGAGAACGTCAGTGACAAGAACATATAAGTCACCCTGCTGTGTGGCGGGAGACGGAGCTTCCTGAGTACATACATACTGTACATATCATTTATTCCAAAACAGAAGTACTGTACGTTAACCTCATTTTTTTCACGTTCATTATATTAAATATTGTCCACTGACTTTCCTACTTCTTGATATGTTATGTGAAAAGACAGTCAATGTGTCTTGTGTGCCACTGAGGATTACTTGTCAGTCATGAGCGAGACATTAAATCTGATCTTTTTGAGCCCTGAATGACACTGATGGATGATGACTGATCAAACACAAATGAAACTGCCGCTTAACCTATTAAGTCAGGGATTAAATCCGGTCAACCTTTTCAGGTCACGAATGAGATAAATGGCTGACCCGTGAAAATCTCAGGTTAAGAAGTGGTTATCATTATAACTCTGACATTAGCCATTTGACCTTAAATGTGATGAGTGAAACAAATGCTTTACATGTGACTGGTCTTGGGGTACACAGATGGTTGACTTGGTAAAGGTTTATGGGTGAAACACAGACCTGCTGCAAGGTGTGAGTGATGCATCCATTAATCTGTCCAAATCGTGAGTGAAACAAGACAGCTGACCTGCAAGGTTAAGAAAATGTTTAACCCACACAACACGGGAAAGCTTCTTGAAGAACCTTGGCTTAATACTGACGACATTGACTTCTTGTATGTACATCGCGGCTGCATCAATATGTACACCTTCAACGAGACCACAACTCACGGCACTCCTACAAGGCCGACTTTCTATCACTTTGTAATGTGAAGTTAGCCTTATATCACCATCCAAACCAAAATCCTGAAAGATGGACGTGAGAATAAAATAATAATACTGGAATGACATTGAAATATACTGCCAGTGTTGACAGGAAGAGAGCATAAAGATATCTATTTAATATCTACTGAGTTTTATTAAAGAATAAATAGTAAATAGAGTATCAGAAGCATTATATATGAGAACAAATTACTACGATAACACTTTAAGAGGTTGTTGGTTGGATGGTTATTGATGACTTAATAAATGCACAAACCATTACTAAAACATAATACATATTTTATTCCTAAACATTTGTTCCTGCTACATCAATGCAAAGAATAATCCCAAACAGAATCTTACCCAACTATGCGCTGCCAACACTCACCACTGCTCAAGGTTACCTCTCAAATTATTAAATCACTTATCAGGAATTATTTCAGAATGCGAGTCTTGGGGGGACTTGCACACAACCTACTCTGATTTGGCACATATAAACAGACAACCTTGGCTTGTGGTCACACTTGCACCATACTGCCAAGACAAACTCTCACTTGGACTCCCAACATAGTTCAGTACTTATCATCACTTGTAGTACAACAACTTCAGTATAATTTTTTTATCTTAAGGAAATTTTAAACATGTCTTGTAATAAAATTTTGGTAAGGGTACTCAAATATATTATACACATACACCCAGGAAAACCATTTTTTTAAAAGTCAGTTTTGATAATGATCACAAGAGAGTGAGGTTAATGACAGCTGGTATAGCAGATAATGACTGTCAGACGAGTAGTGTTGTGAGTGGAGAGCACGACTTCTGCAGGACCGAGCTGCCGACACTACCCAGGCATGATACTGTGTTTACTGGCACTCCTTTTGTCACGATAACTGCCACATCCTAACACACCACACACCTCCTACCCTAATAGATCTGTACCAACTACCCTTACAGTAATCTTTGTATCACTTACACTTACACAATCCTTCTCCTCCTTCTTACATCAATTTAGGCGCAAGCAGAGGAGAAGAAGGGGTGAGGTCACTTGTCTCTCTCCCTTTAGATCAGCTTCTTTCTTGATTTACACAAACAACTCGGCCTACTGTGGACTGTCTGCTAGTGTCCAGTGTCAAAAAAATTACAAATACAGATGGTCAGGATGTACCCCTAACACACACACACTATAGGATCCCTTATCTTATACCACCACTATTTCCTTACCAATCTACTACAAGGCTTCCACCGTTAACTGCATACAGTACAGTCATACTACCACTTTATTATGTTACACACACACACTAGACGGGATGGTCCAGCGGTCACCAGGGGTCACCAATCACTCTACTCTCAACCTTTCAACACTATATGTTATCATGTATTACACATAATTTTTATGAACACAACAGTGCATGATACAAAAATATAAATTATAAAAAATATAATTTTGTTTTCATTCGGTCTACAATTAATAAACTTGTCCTCAGTGAAAATGCAACATATATACACTATATGAATGACAAAACATTCCCCAATGAGTTAATCAAAATAATAATACATAACATGAACTACAGGTACTGTATATAAATATATATGTATACGTGCTTCGAAAGACATCTTTGATTTAATACTAGTAGTTTATGCTTAAATCACAGGACCAAATATCAAAAATTCTATAGCAAAGAAATATTGTGTATTTATTGAGTTAAAACTTAAGAGTTAGTATATTACACTACAGATGTCATGTATAAACTAAAAAGCGTATATTTTGTAAATGACATAAATTGAGTTGAGGGGGGCGTGTTGAGGAGCCTGCACCCCTACAGCCCACTACACCTTAACACAGGTAAACTATATATCATGATGAGTGGTATTATTTACAAGTCAGCTAATACTTCTGTGTTATAGTGAGGCTCACTTCTCCACCTCGTCAACTTCACTCCTTGTCTAAGTCATGTTAAAAAAATTTGTCCATATATATTTGATATTATTTTTCTATCTATACTGTAACTAGCTTCCCTACGTGTGGAGAGCTTGACACACTTAAAGGACCATATCAGGAGTTCAGAATAGTCACAGTGCTGTTATGGCGGACCTGTGGGGTGCGGGTGTGTGTGGGGGGAGGGGGGTCTAAAATCAATGTTACAAAAACCTTGAACCCCTGAACCTAAAAAACAAATCAAGTGGATTGAGAAGATATACTGTATACAAATCTCTATACACCTCAACTTTTGCACATGTTAAGTTCAGAGTTCAAAGTTGGCGAGACACTGTTTGTTAAGCCCCTTATAGACAAACTATAAACCTTTTATTAACAAACATACTCACACAGGCTCCACAAACAGCACTGAATCCCGGACATGACCTCTTAAACCCTATGTAAAACATACAATAAGTTTATCAAAACTATTTAGTTCAAATCAAGGAATGGCCAAACAAACTGAACCTGGTCAAGAAACATCAGGTAGTGAAGTGTTTACACTGTGAGCCAGGTATAACTCAAGGGACACTTCCCTATTTGAACTGTGATAAGTGATACCTTGAGTGTACCAAATGAGTGTCTCTTAAATTTCACCTTGTAAGAAAACATTAGCTGAGGCTCACTACATCCCCTACAAGTCATATGCTAAGTCCACAGTTTTAAACTATATAATTACATGAACTACAAACTACTCTCCTATAAAATACACAATTTGAGTAATGAACACATAGCATAAGAAGACTTCCCATAAGACTTCTCCATGCACATAATATTTAATAAATGTGCATGCACATACACGCACGCACGCACGCACGCACATACACATAACACTTAAATTTCAGTAAGAACCAAAAACCTTGAAGAGCACAAGATAGGTTTACAACATTTCAATATATCAGGTTCGGTCTCCACTCATTCTCTCTTGTGTCAATAGTTGTTACTTAATAACAAAAACAATGCATTTGTATTCATATTTGATAAGCATCAACCAAATTATAAAACAGGTAGATATATTGTCTTACAGGAGACAGACAGCTCACGCCAGCAGGTATGTAACTCATTACTGACAAAAAAACTCACTCTCACGCGTTGATTAACTCACTCGGGCGAGCAAATGGTCGGTACTGTGGCGTCCAGAACACCAGGGAGGTAAACAACCTTAATTACCAGAGCAAGACGAGGAAGAAGGAAGCACATGATGGAGAGAAGAGGGAAACAAGAAGTGAAAGAAAATGAGAAAAGAATGAAGGATAGAGATGATGATGAACAATAAAAACAACTGGGCACCAGGAAGCAATTTTGTTTTTCAGGTAGTGACTGACTTTCCAAAAAGGGCGACTTACACCACACACATACATCATTGACGAAGAGGGCCGCTATACCATTTATTTATTTATTTTTAATCAGATGACATGAATTTAACTTATCCAAACCTGGTAATCCTAAGCAAGTTTTGAGTTAGGTTTACCTGGTTCGTGCCACCTGTAGATTGCATGGTTTAGCGGCCGTGCTTGTCGTACACTGTCTAATTTGTAACGTACATAAATATTCACTTTTCAAACACACACCCACACACACACACACGCGGACTTGTACACGCAACACTCATAACAACAACAGGTTCTTCGAAAAAAGGTGTACATTTAGAAGTCATTTTTACATAAATATACTGTATGGTTTGAATAGCAATATTCTGATTGTCGTGAAAGGATATATACGAACAGTGACAGATGACGTCACACTTTATGACAAAACAAAATAACAATGTCTGAGTAATATTTGATTTTTTTAATATCAAGTCATTCTCGTCGTGAAAACTTTGTCAATTAGTTACTTTTTCATGGGCAATGTTTGAGAGGAACAACTAAAATTAATCTTAAGGTGTTTTGGTGCTGCCTTCAGTCAACACCTCCTGCGTGAACACTGCTAAAGTGAACATAAACAATCAATGTTCGTATTAACATTTCAGACTTCCTTTACTCAGACATCCAAAATAAAACACTGATTTACTCATAAATTTAATCACAAATCAGACATATAAATTTGCTCCAACATCCAAAGGCTTTCGTTAACACACTAGAGTTGTAAAGGTTCTCGCATAATTATGAGACTATGTAATAACACATACACACTTTACATGAGAAAATTTACATTCACAGACACGTGTACTCATGTATCCTTTCACATCAGGCTAGCTAACTCGCCCTTCTCTCCTGTAATAGTAACACAATAACAAACGCCTTAGTAGGTAATAGTTAATAGTGTTAACCTTTCCATACTAATAATTGCATAAAAGTACTACTATGTCTCTGGAGAATCACACAACCGTTGACACATCTGGTAGTCACATCTATTTCAGTTGTAGGTGATAAACTACTACACATCTGAGAGTAATGTTAATAGTTACACATCTGACAGTAGCACACTTACCAGGCACACAACTACCTGTTCAGCTGGGCAGCCACGGCAGCTCTGTCTTTGTATGACTTTGCTCATCAACCACATACCTACCTTCTTCCAACAGTCAAGCAACAAGGAAAGCACAGATAAAAACACTAATCTCAATCATAAAGTCCACTTGTACCATTATTAGTACAAACTAAAATAATTGGACACACAGATAATTGCCGTCCTTGCTATATAAAAATGTTGTACTCTACTCCACTACGAGGTCGGTGGTGGTGAGGGCTTTTGGTCCACCCAGCGCCTGTCCCATCATCAAGCCCTTCACCTGCAACCATCCGCTTTTACCTCTATCTGGAGCCAGACACAGTGTATAGCTGTGATGCTGACTTTGTGCGGGAGGGCGAACAAGCTGTGACATGGGTAGCCGTGGCTGCAGCTTGGGCCTCCCCGGCTGATGCCATTTGGGCAGCACTAGTAACCTGAGCAGCATTACTGGTAAGGTTTACGGCGGTGCTGCTGCATACGTTCTAAGGAGGCCGGGCGAGCCATGTGCACGCCCGCTGTGAAGTACTCAGAATGGGCCGGAGCAAACACACTCTGGTGGGGCTGGAAGGTGCCGGCAGTAAGCCCCATGCCAGTGGGGGACCAGTATGATGTCGGGGCATACCCCGATGCCGACGGAGATGGTGAGGTGGTCTGGGTCAACACCTGGGAAGGGGAGGTGGTGTGATACGTGACCATACCCTCGCTGATGGTTACCTGAGGCTCGAACGCCATAGGTGGCATGGTAGGCAGGTCACGGTGCAGGGGAAGGGGAGAGTCAGCGTGCAGCCGCACCCCCGCCCCCAGCGCCGCCTCTGCCGGTATGCGAGCATGTATACCACCCGCCGTCTGTGTCACGGTTAGAGACATGGGCTGGGACGACACCTGGACGCCGGAGTGTCCACTGTGAGACACTACCACGGATATGGGCGGCAGCTGTTGTTGAGTGGTGGCCAAGTCCATCACTTCATCCTGCGGAGTTATGTCCTTGTCCCGTGCTGCCATGGCCTCCTGCAGGATGTCTTCTCGCCCACTTTCGCTACCACCCATCATGGTGACACCTCCTACCTTATCCTTCTTGTCTTTCTTGTGCGGCAGCTTACGAATCGTCACTTCTGACTCGTTGATATTGGACCCATTTACACCATCTGGCAGAGAAGCAATGCCTTTCTTTTTCCGCGGCGACCTTGTACCCTTGCGTCGCGTGCGTTGTTGCACCTGGCGCAACTCGTCCTCTGTGAGAGGGGTGACAGTTATGGTCTTCAACTTACTCTCGAGGACGTTCTTCACGTCGGCCTCGGTGATCTCGCCGCGTTTGGCAGCAGGTAGGTGACGCTTGAACACGTGGCGACGCAGGTTTCGTGCCTGCTTGATGATGCCCATACACAGCGGACACTTCATGGGGCGGTCCGACGGCGCTGTAGCCTGCACAGCGTTAGCGATTGCCATCAAGGCGGACACATCTGAAAAGAGACGGCGGGCGGGGGTGAAAACGGGGAGAGGCGCCAGTAGGCAGCAGCACACCTACACTACACAACACTACCCAGGGCCTTGTTTCACCACACTACACTGTACAGTACCACGGACCAGGACCCCACCAGCAGAGTACCTCACGGAGGGCGGCAACCACTACACTGTCACGCTACCACCTGCACCGCACAACTACCATACACCTATACTGTACCTACCATACCATGTAGTTTCCCTTCCCACACATATATATATATATATATATATATATATATATATATATATATATATATATATATATATATATATATATATATATATATATATGGATAAAAACAAGAAAATGGAAACAATTTAGTAAGTTCCAACTTTATTTATGAGAAAACAGTGTATATATACATTAGATGGGACAAAATATATTTACAAAAAACAACCTTACATGAAATATGTAACATCACTTGCTATGAAGAGTTTTGTAGGTAGCTATTAAAATGAATTGGCACTGATCTACGCTTTGTGAGAATCCTCAGCGCCCTACCATATGCGCTAAAGCTTTAGAGATGAGTGTTAGGCGGACCGTAAGACAAGTTACTGGAGAATGATGAGGGTGGAAACTAGAGGTGAGGCGTGGCCAGGCCTCGCCTACAACACCTACAGGGAACATAGGGGCGCTCCTCTACCACAACCCGAGATAAAACTGTGTTTGTAAAATGTATGGCCACTTATTGTCAATGTGTAAGAGAGACGGGGCTGAGTGGTGCTCTTGTTGGACCACTCCACCACCGTCAGGACCTCCCGCCATTGCCGGCCACGCCACCTTCCTGACACACACACACACACGAGCAGCACGGCGGACTGTCACGCAGGAAGGGACGGGGCCCACCTTCACTGACCCTGTCACAGAGTCAGTAAGGATAGCATGGGAGGCTATGGTTTTATCTTGCGTGAATGGACGCGGGTGTGAGCACAGCGGGTCTGGAGGTTGGTGTAGACGTGGCCGCACACAGCACAGGTCCCCGCCAGCCCCGCCGCGTGCTTCTGGTGAACGTGGCGGGACCGACTCTGCCGGTTGGTGAAGCACTTATCACAGAAGGGGCATAAGTAGGTCTTGGGCCGCAGCACCACTCGTGGGTACCAGACGGCGTCCCCGCCGCATCCAACGTCGCCAACGCCGACGGAGCAGACACCGCCACCTGCAAGAGACACGGCGTAAGGGCGGGTGGCGGCCTCACAGCGTGAGACTCAAGCAAGCAGCAGCAGCAGCAGCAGCAGCCAGGCCGGACCAGCCAACCAACCGTGGAGGAGGGAGGAGGGGTGGGGAGCTAGGCTAGGCTACGGCATAACAACCTCATCATCATCATCATCATCATGCACAGGGATAAAGTAAACCATCAGAGGACAACGGTGGGCATGGGCTCACCACCCCTGTGTCATACACCATCTACCTCCCCACACACCTTACACCTCACGACACCTCTTGTGTACATCGCCAGGGTCCTCTGCCGCCCTCCTCACGCCCTCCACAAATATTGATTTAGTCTTTAACCATAATGCTTGTCTTGTGTTTTCTAAGCGTCAGTGAATAAAAAACATTTTAACGTCAAAGCTTTCCTTGGTGAAACCTTTTAGATGTCAACATCCTGATAAGTGCTTCAATACGCAAAAGCGGAGTACTTGATAATTGTGGCAGTTTACAAAATACTCACATATACTGTACACGTAAATCAACACACACACACACACACACACACACACACACACAGAGCAGTATTTGTACTTAAACAGCTACATATCATATCCATCTTTTCCTACTCAGGTCCACTTGTATCTGTGACCAGCATGAGTACAATAAGTCTGGCATCACGTGGCCCACACATCAACCTGACTAATATCTTCATGACTGGTGGTGCAAAGTCTGCTAACATGGACCACTAAGTCACCAGCTGAAGGTCGTGTTTTGGTCAAGACACAAAAAAAACAGAACAGGTGGTAGCCTTTGTGTTACATTTTGAATCGATTTTTGTTCCAATCATACATATTTCAGACACTTTTCCCTAAGTACTCTTCAATATAAACTGGAACTCTGTTGACGCTACAACACTAAAAGACAAGAGGTATCTACTGATTAATGCTGAAATCTGATTGGTTGACTAGTCGGAGTATTGTGCCGTCAACAAACACTAAAAATATTTAAGAAGAAAATAATTTCACCACAATTACATATAAAATATTATAAATTTCCTCATATTAGAAATGTGTTAATGTCTGAAAACTGAAGGTGGCACAGACGGCGAGGTGTGATGGGACCTGTTGTCTGTCAGCAGGGGACCTGTTTAGTCTATACAGCTTGAGACGCGGTTGTTTACATTCACTAACTTACAGGTGCTTTACTTTATTTTTTTCACAACTAATCAACATTTCCCAAAATAATTGTGACATACAATAATAAATTATAACTGTGAATATCCCTACAATATTTACCAAATGACTCTAAAGCTAATTATATATATATATATATATATATATATATATATATATATATATATATATATATATATATATATATATATTTTTTCCCCATTGTCTTTCTTTCAAAATACATATACAGTACTAGTAACAATGATCTATGTGACTATAAGTGACTGGAGGATTCTATATATTTTACAAAGCCAAAACTTATAAATTTCGTAAAATATTTCTGATACGAATTTTGTATTATCAAGTAAGGGTGACGTGAAGAAGGCGAGCGAAATGTTGGTGCAGTACACTGGCGACCCTCCACACTTGGCTACTGGGTCGTGTACAGTTACTTACACCTCCAGAGTAAGAATCAGTCTTAACATTATTTATTTATACAGTATTTCACACATATAACACATATATTTGATTAATTGTTGTGTGTAATAATAATAATAATAATAATAATAATAATGATAATAATAATTAACTGTTTATTGAAAGAGCATGGCAGCCGGAAGGCTGAAAATATACAGTGTGTGTGTGTGTGTGTGTGTGTGTGCGTGTGTGTGTGTGTGCGCGCGCATTTGTACGTTTTTTTGTATGTAAATAAATTTAAATTATTATAATAATCTTGTACATACATAGCAAAGATAACTCAGATACGTTATTTATTTATTTTATTACACTGTTTGAACTCTCGGTCTTCTTCACATTTTCTCCAGTTCCTCATCCATCAAATTCTTTTATTTCACATATTGTTTGTAAGTTCAGTTCCCCATTCTTTATACATTTTTTTATCGATTTCTACTCTCCTGATTACATTAGCATACCGGAAACACACACACACACACACACAGACGGAATCACATATATCGCATACATACATACATACACACGTGGACACAGACAGGCAGGAACACTAACTCTAACACACACACAATAAAAAAATATATATATATAATATGGTGTTACTTTCGGTATATTCTAATGTGGGAGCAACAAGTACCAGCTGAGGGGAGGGAGGTACCGCTGGGTAAGTAAAAGATTGTATTACGAATATCTTATTTATTTAAAGTATACATACCATAGTAACATCACAGACTACAGAGAATGAGATCTGGCACTTAAAGCAATGTCTTACAAAGGTTCACTACTACAAAGCATTCTGGGTATACAAAATATAACTACTCCGGATCTGGAATGCTCTTGTTACAGTGTGCATAAGGAACCTGTGTCGCACTACGGAGGCAACAATCCAAGACTAGCAGAACTTTGGCCACCACGTGGGTCCCAAGCGCTTCTAAACTGGCAGTAAGTAAGCATGTGGGAGTCTACACCAAGTCATTACTACAGCTAATGAGGGCGGGGCTACCTTCCCCCGCCACACTCACGCCTGGTCCGTCGGCACCTCTTGTTGCAGCTGTTGTTGTTGGTGGTAGAGCATGTCCATCAAGCTCTTGTCGTGGGCGGCCCAGGACTGCATCTGGGGGGGAGGGGCTCGGGGCCGCCGCCGCCCAGAGTGGGCCACCGAGCGATGTGTTATCAGACAGTTACGGTTCTTACACACCTTGCCGCAGATGTCGCACGTCACGGTGGCACCCGGCTGTAGGTGCTGGTCTCGTAGGTGTCGGGTCATGGAACCACGATTTGAGAATGACTTGAAACAGAACATGCACTGGTTGTCCGAGGGCGCCGCCCCTGCCCCCCCAGCATGCTGCTGCCCAGGAGGGGGCGGCCAGGGAAATCCCCCCGCGAAGGCCCCCAAAGGGGGCGTATGATGGCCCTGGGTGGGCGGAGCGGGCAGGCCCAGGGGGGCCTCACATTCTGGGTCCTCGCAGCCTGTAAGATGAGAGACGCCCGTGAGTGAGGCCACCGCCACCACCTGCTACACACACACTAACACTCCACTACAGGGCAAGGCTACTCCCCTACACCCGTCCCCATCACCCCGCTCTTGCTGGGGCCAACTACTGTCGCCCCCGCCCCACCCGCGCCCCGCTCCACCGCGCCCCGCGCCCCGTCACATGAACTGTTGGTACGCCCGCTGAATGTCGCCCCCCATGCCACCCAGGGGGCTCTCTCCCTCGCTGTCGGCGCTGGTGATGGTCGTCACTGAGACAGGTGGCAGAGAAGACGTGGTGGTGGTGGTGGTAGGCGGGAGGGGCGTGGTGTGGTGGTGGTGGGTAGAGAAGGAAGAGTGGTGGTGGTGGGTAGCTGAGTGGGCGGCCAGGAGGAGGGCGGGGTGGGTCTCGTAGCGGAGGTCGGTGGCTAGCAGTGGGCGGTGCAACATACTCTTGTGCTTGATGAGCGCACCACGATTCTTGCACCACTTGCCGCACACCTCACACGGTAACGAGCCAGGGTCCACGTGTTTGTCGCGCTCATGCCGCTTGCGACTCCCAACCGTGGAAAACGCTTTGCCACAAAAGCCGCAGCTGCGGCACGACTCACATGTACAGTGACTCGGGTGCGGCTCCCAACCCGCGCCGATCTTGCGCTCTGCAAAAGAGAGAACAACTCTTACGCCCTGGCC